GATAAAATGCCGAAGATAAAAATTTACTTTTGTAAATATTTTTTTTTAAAAAAAAAGGAAGAAAGAGAGAAATAAAAAAAAATAGTTAAAAATTTGAATAATATCATCTATAATTTTAAAAAAATACCTTTTTGTATAGTATTAATAAATATTTATTACGCATTATTGAGGGAACAAATTTCATATAATTAATTCTCCGTATAATTTTACTTGAAATTTAAGGTTAAAAATAGCTGTGGCAATTCACTGTAACAAAAATCCATAAACTACATTTGGCGTTATTATCGCTCAAGAAAAAGATGCCAAATTTTAAAACGGAAAATATGTAAATTCGTGTATATCTTAGAAAATTTTGAATAAAAAAGTCTAATTTTTTGCAGGTATACTTAGAAATACACCTACTTTAAGATGATGGTAAAAATTTTATAGGTTATAATTCGAAATCTTTTTTGAAAAATTTATAAAAATTATTTAAAAATAGAAATTTATAAAATAAAACACAAAAAATGGGTAAATTTTATTTGGAATGAACCTAAATTTTGAAATATGAATGGAAAAATAAAAAAAAGTTTAATAAAAAAGAGATATTAATAAATATGGTACAACTCTGATATACACCCTAATTTCACCAAATGTGGCGATATGTGTTCTGCGCTGGTTTTTGGCGAGATTGCGTGTTCTATGGTTACCCTGTTGATGTTGAACAATCTTTCGCTGGAGCTCGTTGATTCGCGTCTGTGTCTGAGAAGATGGGAGGGAAAGATAAAATGGTAGACGTTGTTGAATTAAAGTTCGGCAAAAGGAAATATCATTGTGGCCATCATGTTGAGGGGTAGTGGGTATTTAGAAGTGTGGAAAGAGGGTCTGGGAGATTATTTTTAATGGCTGTGCATGATAGATTTAGGAATTTGTGATTTTATTTATTTTTGAACCATAGTATGAATTTTCTGGAGTGTGTCTGGCTGTCATGTAAATACGATAGTGGTGGCATGTTAAAGGCGGTATGAAATTGGTATTTCTGCTGCTCGAAAAAGCATTAATTTATGGTAAGTGCATTTTATTTTATTCTTGTTCTTATTTTGTAGAATGTTGTGTTCATTGGTTATTTAGTATGAATTTCTGTTGTTATTGTTGTTTTTGAAACAGAACGCTGTGTACATGGTACTATTTGAAATTTATTGTTATTATGTTATTTTATAAAAGCGAGGTGTGTGTAGTTCGTAGATTTGTTCGTTGCCTAAATTGTGCAATTCGTAGATTTTTTTTAAGTTTAAACAGGATGCTGTATACATGGATTCTTGTCAAATATTTTTGATTAGAAACTTTACGTTTTTGCTATCTAATTTTTTGTTTTTGTTTCAGATTTTTAGCTTAAATCGTGTGTTCAAAGTGTAGTTTTTGCATATGCGAAAACCGCGTCTTTGGGACATTTTAGGCTTAAAGTTCGAAATATGGACAAAAAATTTAGATAGTAATATAGCAGCATGAAGTTTCTCGCCAGAAATGTTTGGCGAGAAATTTGGCAACTTGAGGGTGCATATCAGAGTAGTTCCATAAATATTTGCCAAATTCAATTAACATAGAGGAACTAAAATTTTGAAAGCTAATATTCTAAGAACCACTCGTACAATTTTTACAGAACTTGGCATTCTGGCATAATTTGAGTCGTAGAATCAAAATATGTAAAAAATTGGTATGTTATTTCAGAAAAAGTCCGATTTTGTGTCAAAATACCTATGTTAAAATAGTGTTATATATAAATCTAATATATATCCTAAGTCGCGCTTTTGAGACATGAAAAGTGCAGTTTGAATTTTGTCAATCGGCCCAGTAGAATGGGAGATATAGCACTGTGTCATTTTTTTTTTCTTGAGCAGTGTATCTGAAATTTTATCTTGTAAAGAAAAAGAACAATTGATAGAAATTTCTTGTGATCAAGCTTTAACTGAAGATTTCAAAAATAATCCACTTGTTAACTTTTGGCTGAACCCGCCCCCCCTCCCAAAAAAAAAAAATTAAAGCTATTAAATTTTTATTACCTTTTTGAACAACCTAGTTGTGTGAACAAGGATTTTGTTCCATGTTACATTTGAAAAATAAATACAAAATTAAAAGTTTATTGTAATTTATGGTTGAAAGTAAGTGAAATAAAACCAGACATAAAGAAATTGATCTCTCTTAAACAGGCCCAGATTTCACACTAAAGTTTAGAATTGAAGTATTATAGCTTAAGTTTTAATAATTAAAATGGTGACCAATTTTTAATTTACTATTTTTTTATGTGTGCATACTTAATACAAATAGCCAATATGTTGTGCAGATGGCAAAATTTTTTTTTTTTTTTTTTTCTTATTTCTATTGAGAAATTGTAAAATGTATTGGTGGTACTAAAGTTTTTCAATTTTTGTTTAGATTGTACGCATTAGTCAAAAGGCTTAGAACCACTATTCTAGATCATTACATTTGTTAATTAATAGGATTTATGTATACTTTAGATTTCCAATGTGAAGTTCAGGGGCAGAATTAAAATATGAGTATTTTTGTTTTTATCTGCATGTTCAAAAGTTCTGGCATCTAAGGAAATTTAATGTATTACTAGTACATGATGCATTTCTATGTCAACAGCTTCTAAATCCCTTTATATAACAAAAATTTGTATGATGATGACATAGGACATGATGTTGCTGATGCAGACTTGCAATCATAACTAATTAAGAACTTTTTATTCTTGACAAAACATTCTTAGAATTAAGCTTAACTAAGCTGACATAAGACGTACCCTTTCTTTAACAATTACTTTTGTGCTTTTTCACACTTTTGTAAGAATATATGATAAAAGAGATAAGTGGGTGAAAAGAAAAGTGGAGAACAAATGCATAGATAACATTTTAAAGATTTGGCTAAAAGTAATACAGATATATTTTTATTTTATTCTCATTAGTTCATTAAAGTTTGGTTTGCAAATTTCTATCTAGTTATTGGCTCAATTTTTTAAAATAAATTTATTATAAGCATTATATAAGCATCATAATGACATGGGGTACTTTCAAATTATCCAGGCATGCCTCCGAAATGTCAGCAATTCATTAACATTTAATTTTTTGCCAACTTCTTACAGGAAAAGCAACAGTGATTGAAAATAGCACTGCACTAAGAATTCCATAAAGGGCAAGTGAATCAATGAAATTAAAAAAGCAAGAAATATCTATAATAAAATACTTACCTTTCTGAAGAACCTTATACGTATAATGTTTTTTGCCTTGTTGTTCTCTCCATGTATATAGCAATTTATTTTCACTTAAAAAAAATCAGAGAACTGCACAAATTTGGCATTAGCGCATAAATTTTTATTCATAAAACTTAATCATTTACAAAGTACAACTATATGAAATATGATTTTTTGCATTCTGTGCTGTTGGACAAATGCCATATTTTTTTAAGAAGTTCAGCACTTTCTTTTTCTTCAGCGGACAATATAAACAGTCCCATTATGATTTTTTACAAGAAAAAAGGATAAAAAAACAAATGGCAAATTTGAAATTAAAATTTTGCTCATGTACTGTACATGTGTGCATACCTGAATCCACATAAATACATTTTGGCGACGTCATGGGTTGCTTGTTTTGATGACCTTGCTTTATGAATACTTTTTGGCAGAGTGCGAATAATCAGAGAAGTACCCGAGAAAAATTTATATTTCAGTTAAATTTTAAAAATTTAACTCTTCTAAATTAATGCATTAAAATAAATTAATAAGTATTTAAAATTTTCTTTATGCAAATTTGGGAAAAATTTTTAATTTCCTAATACTCCCTCTGTATTGGGATGATTATTTGATTTATAAATTTGGTACCTGATTAAGGAGTTAGAAGTGGAAAAGTTTCGAATACATTACCTTCTACTTTTATAAAACAGAATTTTGATATTGTATGTCGATTTATTTCCATTTTTTTTATTGAGCTATGGGGGAAGCAAATTAAGATCTGAAAAGGAAAATGTGATTCTACTGGAACTACTGACTAACTTTAAAAATGAAAAACCTAAGCATGTTATTATAGTGTCTGTCAGTAAAAGACATGATGTGTCAGTCAGAACTGTTCTCTTAAGATATGAGACTGATCCAAGTGCTGCTATGAGACAGCCCTCTAAAGGTGATACAAAAATAAAGGGGCATAGTGGTCCCTGATGCAAAGGATATGAAGGAATTTTGAAAAAACTCCTGAAGGTTTTCCTTCCCAAACATACCTTGTTAAAAAACCTTGCTGTTGCTATGTGATTCACTGCAATGATGCAGAGAATAGAAAAGGAATGTATATTGAAGCATGTTTCAAGTAGTACTGTAAAATACAAATTGCAAGATTAGAATATATGAAAAAAAAAAAAAAGCATTGCTTTGAGCTCAGAACATGCTCCAGTAATGAATAAGTTAAAAAATTAAATAACATTTAATATTAATAAAAGAAAAGTTAATACTTATTATATTCATATAGTTATGTTGTGCTTGACAAAATATACCTTGAAATTAGTTGCAGAACAGGTAAAATAGTGTTTTTTAAATATAGAACAAAATAGTATATGCAAAAAGGAGAATTGTTTCGATGTAGAGGGAGTTGGTGTAATGTTTTACAGTACCTTCTGATTATCCGCAGCCTCACATATATTTGCCAATTTTTTGGCAACTTTGAAAATTAACAAAAATATTTTCTTTTTTCCTATTCTTTTTTGCTGATAGGCATACTTCTTTCATAACTAATAATAAAAAGAAGTGTTTTGCAAGGAATAAGAAATTTTATCAAAGAAGTCTGTATGGCAGATATTTACATTTTCATAGTCAGTGATTCAGTGAAATTATGGTTAAATATAAAGCACTTGAAACATAAAAAAATATGTTTGTTGCTGTGGATAAATCAGAAGGTATCTATTTGTATATTTTTGCTTTTGGAATATTTTGAAATAGTGATTTGTTTTGCATAGTTCAGTAATTCGTTTTCTTATTTTAGATTCTTAAATGTGAAATGGACATAATGGGTATGGAAATTCAGCTAGTTATAAAAGCTCCCAATCAGAATGTTGAAGACCAGATAATTTGTTGTAACTTGAATTGGACAGTTCAAAAGCTGAAAAATCATTTATCAGAAGTTTATCCCAATAAACCTGTATGTATAAGTTCTAAAGTTTATTTTCCTAGTAACAAATTTATTTTTCCACTTGTGATTTTTAAATTATATATTTATTTTATTTTATTTTATTTAGATTATAGAAGAGCAGAAATTGATATATTCTGGACGTTTGCTTCATGATCATTTGCATTTAAAAGATATATTAAGACATGTGAGTTAAAATAGTTTCATATAGGCATGATTTATGAAAATTTTACTGTATGTGTATGAAATATGAAAAAGTAGTTGTAACTTGTTTTATTTGATTTTTTATTTAAAATGATTAAATAGTAGAGTATCGTTAATAAGCTGCTTTTTTTTTTTTTTTTTTTGATAGATATTTGAAAACTATAACTTTTTCCTTATGTATGTATGTATTGCTGCGTTCTTTCTCTTCTTCTGACACCAGTTGTTACATTATATCCTTCCTTCACATTCGTACAGGGTTTGTAGATTTAGAGTGAATAACGATGACACTTGATGAAGTATCGAAACACACTTTATGTACCAATATTAATCAGATAGCTCCAAAATCACTTTTACAGTTGTCAAACTTTATAAACACGCTGACACGTTCAGCGACACAGCCTTCACACTGTCAGGCAATAACGGTAGAAACAGCTTCACTGAAAAGCGCTAGAGTACAGCTTCCGATTCTGCTTGGTCGTTCTCGGAACTCCACATACTCTTGAGACTCTTCACGCTACAACTCGCGATGCACTCGACGATACACAAGAATATAGCTCTCGACTCGGCATAGTCTAAGACAAAACTTGACGATGCACTAATTCGCAATACACTAAAAGACTCTCTTGATGCATTCGACGACCAACTCGGCACTAGACTTCAAGAGACTCGCTCAATGGCTGACTATCAGCTCTCTAGACAAAGCACACACTCGATACTAACTATCTCTCACTCTAGATGAGGCACACACACTTGCCTTCTCGGCGAGGCACACTCACTGCGGACCAGCAGGGTTTATATAGTAGTCGGCTTGTGTTCGAGAACATTCTGGGCTAAACCGGTAAGAATTTATTGCAGGAGGTTCTCCATTCGTCCCTGGCATATCACTAATTTTGTCGCCAATTGGGCGATTTCTCGCCAATTGTGTAAACCTTTCCATCTTTTGTCATTTTATGGCAACCCTGAACCTTCTTTGCAGGTTCAGGGTTGCCATAAATGACACGTAAATATAATATATAAAATAATGACCATAAATAAAGCTATCTCACCACGACTGTACATTTCGTAACAGTATTATATTTTATGTAACTAAAGAAGAATAAAGTTAAAACATATCTTTCTGGAAAAAAAATTTGATGTGGATGCAGTTTTAAAATGGTATGAGTTTGAATGTAAACAGATAAAAATTGATGAAATTTGCATTATTCAGATAATGATGTGATTCTTATATAAATAGACTTCTAAGCAATTGCAGCCGTTTCACTTTTATCTTTGTATAGACTGGAACTCAGTTTAGTTGAATGGTAAAAGTAGCATAAAGAAAAGCTCATTTTAAATATATAATGAGTTTTTTTTTATTATTATTATTATTATTATTATTATTAGTCCAAAGGGGCAGTTTGCCCTGAAGGACTATTATTTTCATTTTGGCATTTTGCGTTGGTTCATTATAAATGTCTGACTTACTTTTGAAATTGTTGCCACCAAATATTATTGCCCTGTATTACATTTAAAGAAATTAAATAATGAAGAATCTGCATAAATATATGTATGTTTCTTGCATTGTGATAAAACAACGGTACCTAGAGCCATCCAGTTTTGAATAACGTATGTTTCCACCCGAATATGTGCATTTGGAAGCCCAAATTTATAATTTGTTTTGTTATCTATATCATATTTTGTAAAACTTTAATGAATTTTTTATTAACAAATTCAATGATTTAAAAGCGAGCAATGGCAACACTCTACAGGGTGGGAAACCTTTTTATTTCCAGCGTGTTTAACTATGTATCGGAAATTCTAAAGATATGCTTATTTTAAAATTATTTTGCTATGTCGCTGTTGAACTGATTTTTATGGTTTAAGTGCAAAGAACGTGATATTTAATAAATAAAAGTAACACACAAAAAGTTAAAAAAAGCCGCTTTGGAAGTAATAGGAAACCTTTTTTTTTTTTTTTTTTTTTTTTTTTGGTGTGTGTGTGTGTGTATTGCTAGATTTGCATTTAGGTGCATGAAACTCAGACTGTTGTTATTAAATTTATTGTATTTAGAACAGCATAATTAATATACGGGTTGTTTACATCCCCTGAGTACTAAATTCAGTTGGGTTAACAAATAAAATGCATACAATATCCAATTAGAGTAATGTATATAATGAGAAAATAATTTTAAATTTTTTGTTATAGCAACCTTATTCATGAATTTTAACTCAGTACCTCCTTATCATTACAGTCCCCTATTTTAATAAATGGCAGCAAAACTGTTGATAAACTGGTAATGCAAACCATCTAAGAATAAATAGCTGGCAGTCTTAATGATCATTTATAGTTTTTTGTGATAAGAACTTTGAGTAAAATGTGTGTTATCAGCTTATTTTTTATACATAAATGTTAGCAGTTCACGATCACTCATAATTCTCTTATGACAGGAAGAGTTTTTCACATGTTAATGTATTAAAAAAAAAAATTGCTAAGAAAAATTTGTTTTACCTCACATTCAAATGTGCAAAAATGCCCATTCAATAAAACTACATATCAATGACAGCATTTGGAGGTATAATGTTAAAGTTGTAGGTGAAAGAAAAGCCTAGGTTTTGACAACCAATTTAGTAATTTTAGAATATACGAGTATAACAGCCTAACCATTTATTTATTGTTGGGCAAAGAAACTGATGTCAAAGTTGTTGTTATGGCATGAATGGAATGCACAGCCACACCCACCACGATAGCAATATCTGGCACCCTCGAATTATGATTATTACTTATTCCAATTTTTAAGTGCTAAAAATTTATTACAAATGAGGATGTCAAAGATCAATTAGATCAGTTTATTGTAAGCAAAGGTCAGAACTTTTGTAAAGGCAGAATCATACACCAGAAAAATGGCAAAAGATATTAGACTAAAATGGTCAATATATAATTCAGTAAAATATTTTTATAAGGAAGATGTTTTTCTTCACATGTAAAATAATTAAATTTCTTTCTGAACAACAGGTTATTTTCATATGATATTTGTAAAAGGTGGCATTAAGTAACAGATATGGAAAGTGTAGGTTAAAACTGGTTAAACAGATTAAAATGCATTATTTGGAATAGATTCAACAGAGATATGAGATCATTAAAATTATAGTGACAGCAGCAGCATTATAAAAAAAAATGCTTTTTTGTGGGAGGCAGAAGTAGCAAAAAGAAGAGAGTTTGGTTAGCAGCTAACATTCTGCTTTATAACATCATAACATGCTGTTACATAAAAAAGTAACTGCTGTTTATGATGCATTTCCATGAAGTGAATTGATGTTTGAAGTGATTCTCAGCATGTTTTTGAACAATGTTATCCATTGTTATTGAAATGGATAAAGTATAGTACAGCAGTTGTAAGGAATGGTAATGCCAAACACTAAAAAAGCTCTAGAAAGTGATCAAGTAAAAAGAATGTGCATTTTTAAAGTTTTTTTAAGGGAAAAAAAAAAAATTTAAAATAAATGGAGAAGAAGTTTTTTTAACCCCCTAAGGGTTGTGGACATAAAATTCCATGTAGGACAAGGCTTTTCAATTTGTTATACATGAAAATTTCTGCTAGCTGATCTATCCATTTTCAGGTTTAATATATATTGGAATAAAAGAAGTTAAGGTATAAAGTGCGAGGGTCATTTTGAAATTTTAATGAAGAAAATATGATTGTAAAATTTCAGGGCCAAACCTGTAATGTTCAAAAGGTTAATTAGGGTAGAATATATGCCATATGAGAATATTGAGATATGACATTGAGAATGACATTGTCTCATATGTGGTCTTGTGCTGTAATAGCAGCATGTCCAGCTAGCAGTTTGAAGATCCAGGGTTTGAATCCTGTAGAGAACTTAGTTTATTTTTCAAGTTTCCCAACTTTGAAAAATTCTGCATATCTTTATATTGGCACTCAGGCTGAATTACAGTGAACAATAATTTGTTACAATCTGAATCTGAAAATAGAAGAAAAACATTCCAAAGTTAAATATAAAGTTAGCACAGCAACAATCTTATGTGTGTTATAGATTTAGTCAACTCATTCGATTCCGAGAGCAAACAGGTACGGGTCACTCTTCCTTTGCGCACTTATGGCTAACTGTGGTGTAAACAAAATGACAAGTAAAACATTATGGACATTTAACATGTTTAAGTGATATGAGTGTTAGGATAAACAGAATGCAAAACATAAAATGATGGTCCAGTAAACAATTAACTGTCAAAATGATGCCTGAAGAATTGCAAATTATCTGAGAAACTGTTAGTGTAATTTTAATTGAAGGACTGAACATATAAAAATTTATGAAGTGTGGGCTTTGAAGACATAATCACTGTGCATTTACTTATGGTTCACTTTCTAGACAAAAAATTATTGCCTATTAGATCATTCTGTTTATTAAACTGACTTCAATCGAAAATAATCCTGCAAAATTTGAAAATATTACGCTGATTCTTGTTGTTTGACTTCTTCAATATGCTATGAATCTTTTTATTGATGGAATTTATTTATGAATCGTTTTATTATTTGGTTATTAATGCTATGAATAATTTGGGTTTAAGTTTGGAGGATTAAGGAGCCTAAACAATAAAGTCTTCCTCATACCTTTCCAAGCACTCACATATATTCCTAGTTGTATTATGTGTCACATTGTCTTGGAAAATACTATTATTCCTCTGAGAAAATATCCTTTGCATGATCTAAAAGGATTGATGCATACTTAATGCAACCCAAAGTGTCATCTGTAATGATGTGGGTACCTAGAGAATGCCTTGAAAACATTCCTCGGTCCATAATATTACCTCTACCAGCTTGTATTCATCCACAGATCGTTGAGAGGGTGTTGTTCTCTGATGTTTCTTGCTGTGTGCACCAGTGTCCATCCAGGTGATAAAACAGAAAAGATGATCAAATAAGTAAATTTTGAATTTCTGAGTTATATATTTTAGATCTGTATGGAACTTGAAGAAATAGATGTGGAATTTCTTAAAAACAAAATTGTCAAGCAACTCACTTGACTAGAAAAATCATCCTGAGTTGTATTTATGAAAATTATAAGATGACTTAGTCTGATGACTGTGTATTTTCAAACAGGCCCAATGAAAAAGAAGCAACATTTCTTAATTTTCTTGTGGCTGATAAATTTTTTGTCACATTATTATATATCCTTATCTGATATTCTTCTAAGCAATACTGTTTTTAAATGTTTTGCCAAAAACCATTTACAATTATGCTTCATATTACTGTACTTTAAATATTAAGAAATAAAATGAAACTGATGGCTTATAAAATCACATCTGATCATATGTTGCCTTTTTAACACACCTGTTTTTTTTAATGTGCTATTAAATTTAATGTGTTTATGCCAACATTCTGAGACAATGTCTGCTTGATATTTGCAAATTATGTTTAGTTTTATGTTTCCGCTTTATAATGCAGATGATAGTTTCACAGTTAATAGTTCACTATGTATAGGTGATAGACATTTGAAATGTAATTTATTCATTAAAAATGTCTATCATTTGATAGATGGCTAGACCTGATTCTGATGTGCCTCAATCTTGTTTTGTTACTGATTTTTTACTGTCAATAAATTTCCTAAATCCAGCTTGGAAGTATGCAAGTAAAACCTTCTTAAAGAACTGGCTGCAAAGAAATCCTGGAACACCTTATTGAAAGTTTTGATCTGTCATGAATTTCTAAGAGTTGGGAATTACAGCAAATTTTTCAAATTATTGTCTCGGAATTGGTCATGACTATTTTTGAATAATCTTCATTATATGGGTTTGGTAAACTCATTGGATGCTCACTTTTTGGCTTGGTTGAAATGACTGTGATTACTTCTACATTTGACATGATTTTAATGTAATTCTGCAGAAGACATTAATGTTTTGCTTGCTTTAGGACTTTATAGGGCTGCCAGTGGGGATTAATGGCTGAGAAGCCAAAGTGCACTGTATATTGAAAATGTACTTTTGACTGCATATTCTTCTTATCATTCATTAAACTTTGATATTAAAAAAAAAAAAAAAAAAATTACTCTTTCAGGAAGAAGGTCAGTCTCCTGTGCACATTCTTCATTTAGTATGCAGTAGTAAACAAGCCTTACAAAACCAGGTAACTTTTTTTAATTTTATAATATTAGAAATACTTGCATATTATGCCCCATTAGGTATTTCTGAGCTCTTCAGTTTTGTATGGTGGAAGCTAGCAATTTTCTACCATGCAAATCTGGTATGGTTAAGGGTTAAGCAGTTAAATTTCAGGTAAGACATGGAAATTCATGACTGTAGTTTCTTTGTAGAATGCATGTTTAAAATGTCGGTCTTAAAAGCTTTTGTAAAGTTGTTGGTTGGAAGTATGTATGGAAAATTTTAAGATTCTATCACTCTGGCAGTTTTTTTAAAAATTTGATAGATATTAGATGATGAGTATTCTTCATGTATTCTGTCTTATTTTAAATAATTCATTCAGATCATATATTGATGCCATCATACTGCAGTGAGTACTAACTTCAATGACCATTCCATTATGGCAGCTGCTGATCTCCTGTATATTAAATTAATTTTCATTGCAGCAATTAGTCATTATAATTTTCCCCTCCATGTAGGACAAGAGAGCTCATTAAAATGAATTTGAATTATATTTGTATGTTATAAAAATCAATTTAAATTTAATAGTTTTATGCTTTATGTGGCATAGATTTTCATATTTTATGTAACATTATTTTTTCTAAAATTGTGGTTTGAATTGATATGTGATTTTAAACAAAATATAGATTATGTAAGTTTATGAATTTTTTCATATTTTATGTAATATTATTTTTTCTAAAATTGTGGTTTCAATTGATATTATTTTAAACAAAATATGGATTATGTAAGTTTATGAATTTTTATGATTTTCTTTTTTAAAAAAATTTTCAACTCATTTTTAAGTGTAAAACTGTAAAATGCGCATTCTTTACTGACATTCATTAGTACTTGTAGAATTGTCAGATTAATGCATAAATATAGTACAAAATCCAAAATCTGGACATCCAGTATCCAAAATCTGGACCACCAGCTGAAAAATCTGCAATGTAACATAGTAAAGATTGTATTTCATAAGACATTGGCAAAGCTTTGTATTGCTGCTTTGTGAAGTATAACATATTTATGTTTCAAATTTAATTAGAAAATGCAATGATATAAAAGAAGTGTGTTGAAACTCAAAGTACTTTTTTTTTAATTATTTGATAATAAATTTAGCAATTTTAACAGAAATGCCCAAATCAAAATATTTTTATCTTCCACATAGCAGTTTGTTGTTTAGCTAAGCATAAGATATGTACTTTTTCTTTCAGATTTATTCTGTTGGTAATTAATGAACTAAGCAATAAACATAGATTCTTTTCAAGTATTATTATTAAATATTAACTGAAATAGCACGTAATTAAATTAACATTTATCTATGCTGAACTTATTAAAATCATTTCTCTCTCTCTCTATATATATATAAAGAAGAGTGTTCATTTACTTTTGTGTGTGCATGTGTAATTTGTATTAATCTACTGTTTTGTTTCAGTCTTGATGAAATGTTGCACACTTGACCTTCAAAACAATAAGCAGGTCACTGTCTACATAAGATTTCTAAAAACCACTTCACTGGGCCCTTACTCATGGGATTTATAATACAATGTTGTATGCCTGGGACCTATCTTAGGTTGACATCATCAATATTGCATTCCTTCTATAAGTGGAAGTCATTCATGCTTAAGAAGAAATTTTGAATAGTTTTTTTACAAAAATGAATTTTAATATTTTTGTGTAGTTTCAGTTTTGAAATTACATCGCCTTTCTTAGGTTCACATCACCAATGTTAGCTTTAAGTGGGACCATGCTTTTAGTGATTCAATGCAAAATGCCGTTTCAAGATTAATACCCAGCGCTCCTTTGGGCTAATAATAATAAAACTACCCCATATCTTACAAAGTTTAGGAATGGTTAACTTAATAAAAGTTAACAAATGGGCTTTAAATATGATTTTTTTTTTTTTTTTTTTTTTTGGGTCTTACTAACTGAGATATCTTCAGGTCAGTTTCAAGCAGTTACAGTTGAAAATATCGCAGCAAAAATGTGTAGGATGAAAACAACACGGAGAAAACAATGCAAGGTGAAAACGTCATGGTACAAAACTTCATGGCAGAAAAGAAAGCAAAAAGAAAACATTGCAGTTATAATACAGAAACATGCCATAATGGGAAAAGAAGACTGTTGAGGATACAGTGAATATGTGTTTGAAAGCCAATATTTTGCTGCACAAATTAAATACCCAGCTATGCATGTTATTTAGTAAAATGTATGCCTGGTTGAGGTAATATCCTTCTGAAGATGCTTTTATGTTTAAGTATGTATCAATTTACACATATTTTGAGAAGGAAGAAATTAAAGAACAACTAAAATATGGTCGGTAGTTGTAACTGTCTAGTGAAACATTTTTTTTGTTTTAGTGCAGTAGTTTATTTAGTTCCAGAAACAGTGATATGTACTTCTTATTTTTAATTTTTTCTTTTGTAAATTAATGTAAAATTTTCATTTGTCTTATTTTTGTGAAATTTCCAGTTTTTAAAAATGAAATTACATCTCCATCTCCTAATTACCCATTGTCAAAAATTGTCAAAATCATTGTCAATGGGTTTTTTTTTTTTTTTTTTTTTTTTTTTTGCATTCATCATTATTTTTCTTACTGATTTTAATTATGATGTTTTTCCAAATATTATGGATAAAATCTTTTAATTAACTGAAAAAAATCATCCTATTTCTCTTAATGAGCAATCATTGCCTGACATATGATGATTGTATGTCTATGATGACCTTTTTTTTTTTTTTTTTTTTTTTCATTTTTGGATAGTGAATGATGTATAGCTGTGCCTCTTATGTTTCTTGGTTTGACTATTAATTATAAAGAATATTTTTCTTACTTTTCAGCTTCCAGATTCTAGTCAAGGTACTTCTAATCAGTCAATTCCACCACAATCTCCTGGATTACATTCTACTCCTGATACCAGTCCTGGGCCTTCTTCAGAAACTGTCTTCAGACAGAGGAATAACGTTAATATGCCTTCAGCAAAGTATGAATGTTAAAATTAAAATTATCCATTTCGAATATGTTTCATGCATTAAAAATGTGCATGAAGGCTTTTATGAAAATTTTTCCCTTGCAACTAAATCATTTAAAAACATTTGAATTAAAAATATGTATTCTTAATTTTATTGGTTTTTAAAGTGTTAATTTTCCTGTAGGAATGTGTTAATGTCAACATTTTCATTTTCTATTTGTAACAGTATTTTTTATGTAGATTTTGTATTTGCTATATGTGTTAGTTCTTTTATAAGTTGAAATATAGGCATAGCCTTAAAATATTAAAGACCATTTTAAAATTCTTTGAATGATATAATGGCAAATTATAGCTGTGAAAAAATGTATAGACTCTGCCTTGCTGTTGAAATTTTTAAAAATATGCTTCCTTCCCCTTAGACTCTCCATGTAATGCTTTCAGATGGCTGATATGTATATGGGGAGAGGAGCATAAAATAGATTGTGTATGAGTATATATTATTTTATTATGAAAGATTACTAACATACATAAATTTATGAAATTATAGGGTTTGAACTCCCCCCCACACACACACACAAAATAGCTAGGCACTTGCTCCTTAAACATATGTTGGGAATGGCCAAATCCTCTGGTCATCAACAAAATCCTTGACCAAGGTGTAGACTGATATTACACCAGTGAGAAAGAGTAAAGAATACACATAAACTATCAAGCTTTATGCAGGATTTGAATTTGCACCCTGAAGTTTAGATTAGCAGTCAGTCTCCACTAAACACTATACCATCTGAGAGGACCAGCTTGATTTCTGAAAAGCAGAAAATATTTTTTTTTTTTTCCTTAATTTTCATTATAGAACATATTACCTGGCAATTTATTACTGCCTACTATAAAATACTTACTAATTACTCATTAAATATAAACTTACTAAATTATTTGTATTTAATCCTTTAATTAAATTTAGTACTTAATCCTTAACAAATGCATAGTCACGTCCAATTTTAAGGCTTCATAGTATGTGTAGTACTTCCTTAATGATAGCATAAATAGTCATAGTTCAGCTACAACCTTTTCTGAAACTTACTCTTAATTATTCAGTCCAAACTGATGTTCAGTGGTACATTGTATCAATAAAATGTCATCTCTATCTCTACATATAATAAAAGAAAGAGTCTGTCTGTCTTTCGTTCATGCTGTGCGTAAGTAATAGACCCAGAGCTATGAAATTTGGTATATAGGTGCATCTAGACAAGAGCCAATGCACCTCGAAGCGACTTTTTTCAAAATTCAAATCAGATTTTGTTTTATTTTATCTTTTTGATTTTTATCGCATTATTTTGAATAGTTTCATTCTTTTAGAAATATGGGTTCGGCAACAGTTTTTCATTCTGTTGTATACTGGATTGCTGACTTGAAAATTAGCACTGTTGCCACTTGGAAAAATGAGGATGATAATTCTGTGCAGTTTTTAAATTTAATATTTTTCTTGTATACTGAACGTTTGTTGAGAGAAGGCAGGGGGAAATTGGTTAATTTATTTTTTATGATAATTAATATTTGCATTAAGGGATATTGCTTATTTCATTGTAATTTTGTTATATGAAATAATTTTTTTTTTTTTTTAATTTGTGGTTTTTTTTTTTTTTTTTTTTTTTTTTTTTTTTTTTTTTTTTTTTATGAAGTTGTTCTGCAGAGTAAAATTTTGTGCAGTTTTTAAATTTAATGTTTGATGTTCCCTTCAGGCACTTTTTTGGTACCTTTAAAAGCCAGACGAAGGCTGCTAGTATTGTTATATTTTAATTGCCTATGGTAACATAACATGAAAATCTCGTGTCTTTCATAAGGAACATGCCATCTTTTGTTTTATTTGAAGTACTTGCAGTGCACTATAAATATATAAGTAATAGTCTGCCAAGTTGCATGTAGCCTGAGTTCTTTATTTTGCAGTTTTATGAACTTATGGAGTTATATATTTTACAATTTTAAATATGTTATTAAAGTTTGTTGATAATCAAGATATTTTTTATATTTTAAACTATTGTGAAAATACTAGAGAACTTCTACCCAAGCTATACTTCAAATCTGGAATACTTCAATTCAAACCTTGTCATGTTATATATATTAGTTCCCTTAAATATTTAAATGACATATAAATCTTTCACTTTATTATAGCTCTTTTGATTCTCAGCTCCAGTCAATTGAAAATAGTGCAGTTGCTCCCACATTTTCATATGATTCTCAAATTTTAGCACAGATGGCAGCAATGCAGCAAATGTATGCTTATTATTTCACCCAGTATATGCAGAGGTAAAAATTTTTATTTCAGTCTGTAGTTTTTTATTTATTTATTGCAATAGAAATTCTTTTGATTTAAAATCTTGCATCTTTTTTTACAAATATTAGAGGCATTTGATATAATTTTGAATGGTGATTTATAAGGATTTAAATTGGGACAACGTTTCTTTAAAATTTCAAAGAAAAATATACATTTATTAACATTATAAAAATCCTTTTGCTTATCATTGGAACATTAGATGAACCTTCATTTTCTTTCATTATATTGTTGCGTGCATACGAGTTTGTAATTGATTCAATGCACACAGACCCGATGATAGGTTGATAAAGTTTATTTTATCTAAAGAAACACTTCAGAGTTCTAGAACTTTCCTTAGAAATACTCGTATGGGTGTTCACAGTAACATAGATTACAATCAGTAGTTACACTTCAAACAACTAAGAACATTAATCACAATGTAAGTAAAGCACATCTAAAAGGTGAAACTTTCAATGCTCCGAAGTCGCTCTGAACTAACAACTCATAACAGCAAATGAGAACAGATGCTCTCTCCAGCTTTATATAGTTTTCACCCAGCCACCGAGATATTTCTAGTACTTTCTGCTTCTTGAAATTATTGGAAGGCATATGAACGCCGAATACAGTTGCAGTTATACATGAAATAAATTATAGTTATTCAATTACAATACCTATTATGGTGATACAGGGATTGGACTAAAATGGTGCCAAGCTTGGCGACTTTTGATGATTTTTTGCCAAAAGTTAGTCACAAAACTGTTGCCAGCTTAGCGATATCTCGCCAAATTAACAAGGTAGCCATTTACTCAGTGTTAAATGGACTTGCTTCTATACAGAGGCTTTTCCGGCAAGTTCATCTCTGGATTTTCATATTATGTTACACAGAAAAATAGAATTTTACGCATGTAATTGTGCTAAAAACATCTATCTATGTACAAAATTCATAACTTGTTGAATTTCTTTGCCTAATGAAAAGTGGTAAAATATATCATTGATTTTACAATCCAATATATCATGGAATACTAGAGACATCTATTAGAAACACTTGAAAGTAAAAAAAAACTTGAAAAAGCCAGGAAAATCAGTAAACTGGTGTATGAAATTACACAGCCCGAGTGGTGTATGGGCAAAACAGTTAAGTGGTTAAACTAATCGAAACATAATTCTAGCTCCTTTTTCCTTAAAGAAAACAAGAAACGGAACTACTATCAGCAATATGAACATAAGTCTGAAGAAACATAAGTTTTCAGAATTCGCTTGTTGCCTATAAGATAAGACAAAACAGCAAAATGTTGCCTCTTCCCAACAAGCATTTGATAGCCAAAAATAAAAATTTAATTCCCTGACCAGCAGGTGTTCATTTAAAACAACATGCAGGAAGATACAATATCCTCCTCCGCCACCACCACGATTTCCTTTCACGTTTATCTCCTGTAAAGTGTTCTGTCCAGTTTCACCGTTTCATCAGAAAAAAACCAACTTTAAAAGTAAAAATGGCGATACTTGTAAAAGTTTTTACTGTTTATTAGAATTATTATAATCGATTAGAATACAAAATTGTTTATAAAAAATATGCTTATTTTTGGTCACAATTTGGCAGGAAAATGAAACAGTTAAGTGGTTAATTAGGTAACACTGCAAATTGTACTTTTCTTCAACTTTTGCTACAACTTATTATTTCATTCAATTTATTATTATTATTGTTTATGCTATTATAGGAAGGTTGCTTTTATTTAAGTAATTATTGCTATTTTTTTTAATTAATTGTTTTTCTGAAATGGCATGTGATAAGCTTAGCAGTTTATCCAGAGTGCTGTTTGTAAAGCATCACATACTTTACATATGATGGTTGACTGTAATCGCTGTTGACCACTGTAAATCTTTTGAAAAAAACAGCACATCTTCATCTTTTCTTTGTATCAAAAAGTGAAATGGAAGCATATATACACCTGCATGGCTTTTTTCAACTTGATGTAGACGGTGTATGAGCTTGAAGATAAGAATGAGGAATCAACTTTCTAATGAGATTCATTCAAAATAACTTCGTAATGTTTAAATATTACCTATTTTGCTTAGAATGTATTGTTAAGTTAAGTGCGTGAAAAAATAGTTTTTTTGTCTACTTCAGAGTTCTGCCAAAAGTATAACTATTGGCCATATGATCATTTAAATCAGCATAGCCCATATTTTTGTTGTATTTTATGATCTTGGGTTTTGACTGCTCATTGGCTGTAACCATTGGATTATTCATATTAGACAGCATGAAAGCATCATGCTTATCTTGCCAGTGTAAAGCTGTCATCCCATTTATGAAGTGCAGAATGTCCCACATACATTTGTTTTATCTTCATTATCTTCATTTAATAAATAAATGAAACATTCTGGTGAGGAAAAAAAATTGTACATAAATAATTTATGACCTTTGTCTCTAATAGTTCCACTCATTTCTTTTATGACATTGATAAGACAGTGAGAAGGTAGGATCCTTAGATTTATCTTTCCCAAGGTAAACTTCCGTATAATAGGTATAACCTTCCTTATCAATGATCTTGTATAACTTCGTACCCCACTGCTTACATTTGTTTGGGATATATTGTCTAAATATTACTCACCTTATAAAATTTGACAATAATTTAGTCCGTCGTGAGATCTTCTGCGGAGCTGTAAATTTATTTATAAGCTGTGTTTAAGTAATTAAAATTTAATAAATATATACCTGCATGCCTTTCCACAGTCTGTTATAATTTAAAATTTTATTAGGTTTTTCCTTATTATTTTCAAAATGCAGAAGGCCAGTTTTTAATCTCAGTTTTTTGATAGCTTTTAATTGCTCAATATTACAATTATTAATTGCTCAATATTATATTCAAGATATTTTTAGAAAACTCATAAAGCTTTGAAAAACTACTTTAAAAAATATAGGCTGAAATATTCAAACAGGATTTGAAGCATTTCAAATCCAAAAGCATTTTTCAAGTAAAGGACAAGGCCAGAATTCAGTAAAGATACATTTTTATAACATTCGTGACAAGAATGATTTATCATTATGAAATTTGCCAATAGACAATTTACATTTTGTCAAACAAAATGTAAATGAAAAAATTACATTTGTCAAGAAAGACCTCTCAACACGGTCTTCTCGAGCGCGTTCGACTGTTGCCGGTGCATTGCATAATCGAAACAGCATCAGCACCTTGAACTGCCGAAGTCCTTGTCTGGTAGTAAATGCTGTCTTTTTTCAGTCATCATGGTGTATCTCTTAACTGCCAATATCCACTCTTTATATCCAGTGTTGAAAACCAGAGAAGAGTATCCAAAATGTTATCAAATCTATTGAGAAGGTAGCTGTCTTTCTTCATGACATCGTTCAACTGGTGATATTCAATGCAAAATCTAGTTGAACCATCTTTATTTCTGACCAGTATGATAGGAGAGGTCCAAGGACTTGCCCAAGGCTCAATATTATCTTTTTGTGTGTGTGCCCTTTAGAAGTTTTGGTACCTGTTCGTGTTTGGCAATCGGTTGACATCTTGGATCTCTTGATTGCTTAGTTGTGCATTCTGCAGTTAACTGTGCTGCAGATCTTTGCAGATGATGATAACATTGGCTCATGATGATAACAACATTGAAAGTCAGGTTATGAAGAGCTCCATTTATATGGCCTGTGATGAAGAGTCCATTAATGCATCACTAATTGCAGAACTCAATCAATAGTGCAAATTACTATATTTAAAAAATAGGGTACTAAATACTATTTAAGTGTATTACTTTACGGATAACTGTTTAATTGCTGTATGTTTTACAGGTGTTATTAATAGATGTAAAATTTGTTTCTCTAATATTTTTATGTTTATAATTTCCTTTTTCAGTATAAGCAATTCTGCTATGATAGGAAGCAATCCTGCTTTCCGAGATGTGGCAAATTTTCAGCAAAATAATTCTAATTTTGTCCCTAATGAAACCCCTATACCAAGGCCTGCAAACCAAAGAATGAATGCTCAAGGAGGACAGATTATAGAAGAAAATGATGACTTAGGAAACATAGATTGGTTAGACCATATGTTTCTGTGTTCTCGCTTTTTAATATTTTTCCTTGTTGTTTATTTCTATTCGACTCCTGAAAGGTTGATGATTGTTGCTGTCTTTGCAGTCATTGCATTTTTGTAAGTATAATTTTATGGTTCTTCACATTTTTTAGCAATAATTATTTATGACCTTATATGGTTTTTGAATACACATGTAATTTCAATAAGCATTTAAAATGAAGTTTTTGTCCCCTAAAAAATAATTTATGATCTTATATATATTTCGTATTTTTATAAAATTCTGATTCTTAATTTCACTTGGGTATCTATCATTTAAGACTTACTGTCTAAAGAACAATTGCAAGAAAAGTATTTATTTCACAGCTAGTGTGAGCTGTTAACTAAGAATTTCTATAGAAAATTTTTCATTCGTAGATCTGAGAATTTTTCGACGATTTGTTTTGGAAACATTATAACATTGATAAATTTAAGTAAAATCATGGTAATATATTTAAATTACATTTAAGAAATAGCATTAAAATAAAACATTTTTATTTTCTTTTGTTGTCATATTATAAACTGGCATTACTTTCCATTTTGGTGACTTATATAGTATTTTTAATCTGAAAAATAAACAAGGTAATAAATGCTATAAAGCACAGTTTACAAAACAATTCATAGCAAAAGCAAAATAGCTATATAATTAATTAAAAATTTCTTCCTTTTAATTTTTTCATGGTAAGAATTTTTCTCATGTAATTGTCTCGGAATATTCAGAATTGTCAGAATATGTACCAGTTTTCTCTATAAAATTAATTTTACACTTTTCCCACTGATTTTTTTTTTCTTTCTTTCTTTTTTTTTTTTTTTTTTCCCCCCACAATATTTCTAGCCTTTTTCTCTTGCAGAATTGAAAGGGCTAATTTTTCTTTAGGATTTTAAACATTGCAACTTGGAAAGATTAGAAGGATTTGAAGGCAAGATTTACAGACCCACCTTGTTTTAGCTTCCTGATTTTTTTAAAAAGAAAATAGATTGATGTGTACATGGACAAATTTAAGGCAGTGCACAATGCCTAGTTTGTGCAGTTCTGGGATGTTTTTTTAAGTGAAAACAAATCAATGTGTACATGGACACAGAGTTTGTGCAATTCATTGACTTTTCCTTTTGGTTTTGTGTAGTGGCCATCTTGAAATTGTGCCTTCCTGGTACCGATCTTGGCGTCAAAAAACAAGGGGCACCCAATTGTAAACTTTTACCGAAAATATCAAAAATGTTTCTAATCTTTTTGCATGGACAAGCATTTATATATAAAAAAATTCTATTAATAAAGAAATTAGAAACTGACAATTTAAAAGATTCACCTTATATGTCTCAAAGGATCATACACAGGGCTGACGCAAGGCATTTTCCCACCTGATGCAATCTCCGTGGATTCTAAATTTTAAAAATTCTTCCTCATGGGTCCTGAAACCAGACCTTACTATACATCATTTCATATTTATCAGCTTTTTCTTTACATTCTAAATGCATTTGCTTTTTTAGAATAATAGAAATTTTTAATTAATTCCAAAAATTCTAAAGTGAAGAGGAAACAAATTGAAGGAACAAACTGAATAAATAAAGAAAATTATTCATCGATGATATGTACAGTTATTATTATGCAAATTAACCAGTGTTTTATAATTTTAGCCTTTACTATAAGTTCCCCTTTCCATTTCCTCATCATAAGTCAATCAAATAGTTTTTAAGCTGAGGTTTTGGGACTGAAAGACAGAGTGTTTTTGCCCTCCACTTAAATGTTGCAGTAGTTTCTGCCAGCTCTGATAATTTGTAATTTTTCATCTTTGCATTATCTCCGCTAACATTTGAATTTGTTACAATGATAGAGTTACTGAGTCAGCTTAGATTAAAATTAAATTGTGTAGCCTTTGACTACTAGTCCACATTTTTAGTTGGAATTTGACTGTTTCTGTTTAATTGCATCACCACAAGCTGTAGTTGAGTTTGCCAACATAGGAACGTGCCTATATGTTGTAAGTTCTTTTTAAATAAAAGGTTTATTTAAACCTTTATATGACTTTGTAGTTACTTTCAGATATAGCGATAATTCACTTCATGTCTATAATAGGTTTTGGACTATTTAACTTTTACCAGATCAAGTAAAACCTCATTACATACACTGATAAGAGACTGACAAATTAGGACATAGAGTACACAGAAACTAGTGAAAACATTGGTTTGTGTATTGAAACAGAATTTTAATTGTTAGGAAATGTTTAAAGAGAAGAAAATTTATATAAATTAAGCCAAAATGTCTGGGAAGTCTTCAAATTAAAAAGTCGTATAAATATTTTGTCATATGTTGTTGCTACAGATACAGCACAAAAATGTAAAAATTAATGTAAAACTTATCCTTTGCATCTAGTGAGACTAAAATAATGCAAAACAATTTATCGCCTCTGGTGCATGAGGGACTTATTAGAGCCTTAAAATGTATTAACTAGCCTACAATTCCGGGAACTCTTTATGAAGCTATAACACCAACTGCATCAGACAGATGGAGCACTACTAACTTTCAAAGCTTGCCAACCTCAAAACTACATCAGGCTTTCAGGTTTGTTCTGATCAACAGATCTCTCTCTAGGCAAGCAGCAGCACTGACAGCAGCCAGTCTTCTGTTATGAATCATGCTGATAATGATTTTATTTCTCACTTTAACCTATGCCATTTGACATAAAATCTACGTACTATTTACTAAACCTCTAGACTAAAGTACATGGCAAAATGAGACATAAAAGAAAAAATCAACATAAAGCTAACTGTTAATAAAACGTAAATAAAATGACCCTAATCTTCTTTCAAATATGCCCAACTATTATATGTGTAAAATATTTAATGCTACCTGATAAATTTTATAAAGTGGATATTATTCTCAAATTTGTTTTATAGTTATGTTTATTAAATTATGTTTAATAAGAATGAATCGTACTTACGGATCTACTTTACTCTTAGAGGGTTATTACAAAAACAGAGTTCGGACATAAGTTGATTGAATTTATTCAGCTCCCATTTGATGATAGGTCTGTAATTTTTTTCATAATTTTAAAAGTACTTAATTTCCATGTGCAGAAATGTGTATAAACCCTGTATATATTCCTGTTTGATAAAAGGTCTTTAATTTTATAAAGTGAAAATATTATATACTTTTAAATTATTAAATTATGTCCTGATAATATTCTGATATTGAATTGTGTACTGTTTTTCATATTTACATATTTTACATGGTACTTCTTTTATAGGTATCAAGAAGGGTGGTTTGTTCGGAGGCCAAATCCAGTAGCTCATTCAGAAGCACCTTTAATACCAAGGAACAGAAATAATGTGGAGGTTAATCCCAATGTTCGGAATAACTTAAATGAAGGAGCTGCAGCTAATCAGAATCAGAGTGCCAATGAAGTAATATTTATCATTTCGATAACTGTAAAAGAATTGATGTATGGGCTGAATGCACATAGATCTTATCAAGCAGATGATTATTTTTTTTTAAATCTGGTGTGTACACCACATGATTTCCTTGTACGGAATATTAAATTACACGCAATTTTCCTGCATTTCATTTAAACATATTGAATTAACGGTTAACGAATTTTGAATTAAATCTACTTTGTCAATAGTGCATAAACCACAATAGAATAAATGTAGTCTTTAAAGTTCACTATATTTATTTACGATAGTGACACTTTAGCACTAGGTTCATTTAACAGCATTACATCTCATTCATTTTATAACTCAGAGTGAAAAAAAAATTATATCATCTGAAGAATTACCACAAGTTCTATTCAAATACTATAATGAATCTAAAACAATGTATAAAAGAAATTAAATAAATAAAAAGGAAACAGTTTTTCACAGACAATTCAGCTCCGCTTACCTAATGTGCATGCACTACTAATTAATTCTGTTCTCACTTCGTGGCAAGGCAAAAATATATAAAAATTCAAAATATTTTCATCAAAAATTGAAAGATGTAGAAAAAACATAAAACAGCAAGTATGGATAAAACAGTTTTAAAAAAATTTACAATTAAAATTACAGTTTGTACAAAAAGCAAGCTAATAATTTAAATGATAATAAAAGATTATGTTACTTTGTTATTGCAAAGCTTAGTTTCTCTAGATTGGTAATAAATCCACTATTCTGCCAAGCTTCAAATGTAAACAAGTATGGCTGCTGTCGTAATCAAAAATTAGGCTTAGCTGCACTTGAAAATTTTTAAAATTGTTGATAATTACACAATTATTGTATGCAGGTTAATTAAGGCTTAAAAATCTTAATATAATCAGAAGATAAGAACAACATGATTCAATCGTTTTTAAAGCAAAAAAATGCACAATTTACAAATATCTAAGAAATAAAGAAACTGAGCCAAGTTGACTGAGTGGATATACATATATACTTTTGCAGCAGCTGATTGCTACCAAAATAGGAGGTGTACGTACATCTACATATTATAGCAGCTCTATATACAAAATTTCAACATTATGAGGCTTTTCATTTTTAAAATATGTGAGATACATACATACATACGAACGTACATACGTACAGACACCACAAACAAATCTCTTCAAAATTAATTTTAAATCAGTTTTATAATTTTTTTGGGGAAAAAAGTAATTTATTTTGTCCTTACAGATCACCCAAAAACATCGTTAAATTACATTCGATGATGATCTAAATGGATATTTTCGTTGATATATGATACAGTCAAAAGTCTTTAATCCGGACTCATCGGGACTTCGGCGATTCCGGATTATCTGTTTTTCCGGATTATAGATCATCAGTTTAAATCTAGTAAGATGGCATGCAGAAATTATAAATTTAAAAATATGAAACCGTAATTTATGAAACAAAGAGCAATTATGATCTAAAGGGTATCAAAATTTACAAAAAAAAAAGGCTTAATATTTATTTGTTTACTTTATTAAACATTTCTTTCAACGGGCGCATGCTTTATGCATGCACGCCTTGAAAGAAATGAACCAGAAAACTATTTGATTTGTACTCATGATATTTATAATGACAAGGAATTTGATTTAAATCATATCAAAGACAGAGTACATCGAGATGAAATACTATATTTAGTAAGGAATTATAAGCCGAATAAAATAAAAACATCTGCTTTGAAGATAAAAATAGTGTCGGCAGATAAACTTCCGGTTCATTGTGCGCCGCTACTCCCCTCCTCCGCAGAGCAGCGGGAAATTGATAAACATATTTCAGAATGTTAGAGAATCAAGGGATATGCCTTTATCCATTTTTTGCAGCAATTCCACTTTTTGTTTGATGGACATCGTAACATGCTTTCACTTTGTAGATCCTTTGGTAGCTCCAGAATCAGAAATTCTTTTTGACATAATCGAAAGTTCAAGCTTACTTTTATAAAATTGCTCTAACAGTCTGCAAAAATAATAAGCCAGATCCAATTAGAAGATTAAGGAACAACGCAATCTGCAACATTAACTGAAATAGATAATTTTAGCTTAGCTTATAGCGTCCGTTATACATTAAACGCGCATGCGTAAAGGTATTATGTGCATGCGTTCACGCATGCGCAGAAAGTTTGTAGCTTTGAGGTCCGGATTAAAGACTTTTGATTGTACCTGAAATTTTTCAATATTATAATACTTCCATTTTACTTCATACAAGGAAGCAAAAATGTTAATTAAGAAAAGAACTACATGTGTGCATTTTTAACATCTTCTTCTCTAGCACAAAGAAAATCAAAATTAAAATCAATGGGATGGCTAAATTCCTTCTTTTATGTTAAAAATATGGAATATCTCATGTTTATTCAAATTTGCCATTTGCAGGCATAAGCTGGTTTTTATCATCAAAAATATGTCTGGAAATTTTTTTTTTTTTTTTTTTTTTTTTTTTTTTTTTTCTATAGTGGAAAGTTATTTAAAATATAAAATCATTCAGAAAATGAAATTGTGTATAAAAATGCTTACTGCATTCTTTTTTCTCTTAATCTTTGCTTTTACGAAAATTAAAAATTATTTAATTTTATGCTATGTCAGAATCTTGCTAATTTTCAGCACTGTGCTTGTCAATGAAACACTCACTACTCGGATCCTAATTTTGACGCACTATCTGATTGCAAGTAGTTGCATTTTCCTGCATTCTTTCAGTTTGGGTGCTTAACTTTTTTTGTTTATCAGTGATATAATACTTCTTTCATTTGTTGTCCTATTCAGAAATGTTTTTGCACTTTTTGATGTATATCTAAGATTTTATACCTACATTAAGAACAGCAAAACAGATAAACACTGGGGTCCGACGACAAGCTGACCACTTGTTCAGGGCATATGTTTACGTATCCCGGGACCCATGGTCAAGAAAGCAGATTTCGGGGTACTGCAGGCCTTGGCCCATTAGGGCTGTTTAAGCTACTGAGCTTAGTGTTTTTTTTTTTTCTTTTAGATCAGCAAATCAATTTGCAATTGGCATTTAAAAGTGAATGCTATGGGGATCATATTTTATAAATATGTTTCATACAAATGTAATGAATATTCTAGCATTCATAAAATGTATAGATAAGAAAAATAAAGAAGACTAAAACATAAATGAATATCTTCATTTGTAGATTAATGCAGTAAGAGAAACTTTTTTATTCAAAATTATTTTATTATGTATAGTAAAATTGCTTTTAACTGTATAATGCATAAATAATTGTTATGTTAGATGAATATTTATGAGGAAATGCAAATAAATCTTTGTATGTGACTATTGTTCAGGGTTTAAATATCTTCCAGTTCCACTTTTAAACATTTGAAAAGAAAAAAATAAATGAGATAGATGTATTAATTTATTATTTTCCTGAAACTGTTTGTTAACTCTTTTAGGAATTTTCCCATTCCATTGTGGCTGTTCTCTTGATGTAAGTGGTATCATATTCAGTTAGCATTGCAAGATTTCTGGTTTAAATCCCAGAGAAAGTACAGTCAATTTATCACATTCGCTAATGTGTAAAAATTTAGGTATCTGTTACTGTGGCTCCTGAACTAAAATGTGGTAGATAATAATTCACTGCTACTTGTATTTGATTACTGCTAAGGAGCAAAAATGGGAGGATTTATTGCCTATCCCTGTGTCTGCTTTCATGGTGTAGTTGTTAACATGCCCAGCTAGCTTCATAAATTTTGTGATTCAAGTTCCAGAGAAGTATAGTCAGTTTTTCACATTTGCTCGCATCTTAAGTTTTAGTATCAGTATAGTGGCACCTGAACTAAAATGTGCTAGATATTAATTTACTGTTACTATTTAAGTATGCTGTGTTGTGCCCTTCCGTTTGCTGTTGTGATGTGTTGGTAGCATGTGCAGCTAGCATTGGAAGACCTAATGAACTGAATTCCAGTAACCCTTTCAATTTGTCAGATTTTTTGGGTTCTAAAAAATATAAAGTCTCCACAACTCTTTCTTTTTCTAGGGTTAAAAAATATATTTTCTATATATAAAAATAGTAGAGGTTTTACTTTAACAGGAACTGGAGGAATATTGAACTGTTAGGGAAAACAGAGCAAAATAAAACATCTGTATCAATTCAGTATGGCTGACATGTGCAAATAGTGAGGCTTGGTTATTAACGTATAAAAATTAATATATTTTTGAAGTGGTAATGCTTAATATGAATGCATATATTTGTATACATGCATACTTAAATCTTTCTTTCTCTGTTTATTTGCTTACAATAGGAATTGCATGATGGCCATGAACTGGAGGCAGCAATGGATGGGGAGGAACCACCTCATGCTCAGAATCCTGATCTAGTCAACAATAATCAGATTTTCTCACCTCTGACTTTCCTTGCTGCCTTTTTCTCTTCATTGATTCCTGAACCACCACCTCCTGTAAACATAAACTGATCTTGGTGTACCAAATGTCTTGTTACATGTATATTTTAGAAAAGACGTTACAACCTTTTTAAATGTATTATTCAGTTATGTAAATTTTTACAGTGGCCAGTATTTGCTTAGACTGTAATAATATCTGTTGTGTTTTATAAGTGACTTTTTTTATTCCTTTAAATTATTTTATTTATGTGTAATGTTAATCTAAGATATAATATTACACATTTGTCATCTTTACACTTTTTCTAATACATCTATCTGACTTGTGAATATAAATACTATAACAATCATTTTAACATAAGTAATTAACATCAGCTAAATTTTCAGTCATGAGGTTAAGTTATTCAACATAAAATTTTTGGGCAAAACTTTGTTAATTTTGAATATCATCATTTCACAATTTAGTAACGTGTTTTAAACACATTCTAATTTAATACCCCGTCTCGAACTCGGGAGATTTCCAATGCAAATTATGAAAAGTTAATACAAAATATAATATGAATTCTAGGCCCCCAATATTCAGAAAGATCTAATATCCCAATCTCCAGGCAGTGCAGCCAGATCTTGCGAATTTTCACAAATTTGCTACTTTTCCCAAACTTATTTCACTAAAATATATGTCTATGCGACTTTGCAAATTTTTGCAACTTCACCGTTTTTGTGCCACTTTTTGGTGCCTTAAAATTTGTTTAGTAAAATTATAGAATATGTATTTGTTAATACAATGTATCTATTGAAATTAATTTATAATAAAAAATAATAATACATTTATATTTTAATAAAAATTGGCAACTGGAAATCCTGCAGTGATAGTCTATGAACACATCTGGTGTCAATTTTCAAGAGAAGTTTTTGCTATTTTCCTGTGTTCAATCGATTGCTTTGTTTGATATCTTGATAATCTGTGAATAGGATTTCAAAATCAGTTTATAGCTCGTGTTAATTAAATTATAAATTATAAGTAACATGAAAAAATTTAACACCTTCTTTCGAAATGCGTTGCTTAAAATTGCCCAAGTTTGAGACTTGGTTAAAAGAATTAAAAGAGGTAAGATAAAAGCATGTAAATGTGAACTGACAGCAAGTAAAATGTAAACTACCATCTCCAAAGAATTATACTCTTAACAATCCAAATGTAAGAAAGGACCTATCAATGAATATGAACAAATTAATTAAAAAATAACAATCTATAACTAACCAAGAATTAATTAAAGGAAGAAATAGAGATTTAAGGAATGGAAAATTAACAATATGGTTTTAACATTTTCATTAAAACTAATATATATAGTATGATGACCAATTATAGAGTTGCAATCCATAATAGATGGAACTTGATAACATCTGAGTTCATGTAAGCTTATGAATATAAGACATCACATATCTCTGACGTCGTATACAAAATAAGAAAAAAATCAAATTATACTCCATAACGTAATAGTTTATGGAGACTGGACTTTGTGATGACGTCAGAGGTAATGTGAGCTTACATACCTCTAACATCATAAAAACATCATGTAGTCTCTGACGTTTCTTACTACTTTTTGTGACTTTTCAATCCTTCTCTTGCTGCTTTCTCTTAAACGTTTCTAGCAACATTGCCTCCAGACTACCAATCCAATTAGTAAATAAACATATAAATAATAAATATTTAAAGTCACAAGAAGAACTATCTTTCCCGCTAAAAATCTAAAAGTGAAAAATATAATATTCAGTAAAAAAAGGGCAGGTGTGCCATAAATGCCATTTTTCTCCTCACTAGCTGAAATTCCCTGCAGGCATGTCACATTCAAACACAGTGCTGGCTAGGAAGTGGGGCGGTAACCAATGCTAATGAATTGATTGACATATTTGTTGATGGGCCAGAAAAAACTTCCAGCCCTTAAGCGATTTTGAGGGTACTCAGTTTTTTTTATCCCAATGTTGCCATGCTTGCATGTCATTTTCCTAGGTTTAAACTGATGATCTAAAATATAGAAATTTCCCAAATCTGGAATTGTTAGGAATCATTGAAGCCCTGATGGTTCTGGATCTCAGACTTTATCTAATATTAGAACATCTGAAAATTTCTTTTTTTTTAATATATATATAAATTATAGATGCAATTAAAGCAGTTCAAAAACGGAAGAAAATTTCATTGAATCACATAAGTACCATTATCATCTATGACTATTAGCATCCTTCCGGCAGCTGAAAAATTTCTTTTTAAAAAACTTCATTTCGTTTGTTTGTAAAGAAGTTATTTACATGCTGTTTGGCAGTCTCCAGAAAAGTGAATTCTAGGATGTTCAGAGAATTTTGAAGTGACCTTAAGAGAGGAAAATTGGAGGGTTAAGTTAGATATAAGGAGATATGGTTGGTGACAAAAAAACATCCCAGTCATACTCAATTAAGTTTTTGTCTGACATTCATGAAAATGCAGTGCTGATCATTGTAATGTATTTTTAGTAATTGACAAAATAACAGATAATCTTCTTGGTAAATCATAAATTTTATTTTTAGTTTACGGAGATAGATAATTTGAATGCAGTCTTTTAGTTACACATTTTTCATACATCTACTAGTTAGTAAAACTTTCAGAATAAAAATTTTTTCTTACTTTGCTGAGCAATGGTTACATCATACAAATATGGCATTGCCACTTCAATAATAAATGTAGTTATTTGTTAAATAACAAAATATTACAACCTCCCCCCTTCAGATAAACTTTAATTTATATTTTTATAAAGTTTACAATTTTTTTTTTTTTTTTTTTTTTGAAACAGCAGATTATCAACACAATACATAATTTAAATACTGCATGTAATATAATAATATACAGTATGGAAGAAAGGAAAGAACAAAATATTTTTTATCTATATAGTGAAATAAATTATTTAATCAAGCCAGGGAGTATGACTTAATGCGTCTACATTTTTATGGTTTTTACCACTTTGATGAAAGACCGTGTAATTGTAGGGTTGTAGTACTAGTGCCCATCTCTAAGTCGTGGATTTTAACTCCCATTATTTTTAAGCCAAACTAGGGGATTATGATTGGTCATGATGAGGAATTTAGTATGCCCATCTAAATAACATTGAAGTTAGCAAATATTATGGCGGCACATTCCTTTTCTGTGGTAGAGTACTTTTCTTCAGTTTCTGTAAGCTTCTTACTGAGGTATAATGCTGGATGTTCATTGTCTCATTCATCTTTTTAAGCTAAAATGACACCCATACCAGAGTTTGAAGCATTTTCAAAATAAACTCCTTATTGAAATCAGGTGCATTAAGGATAGGCTTTTGAAACAGTTTCTCCTTGACTTGCATCTCAACTGCAGAACTTGACAATTCATCTACAATTTTTAACTGAGAATCGTTTAATTTTGCCAGTTCTTTTGCAAGAAGCATATAGTTTTTGCTCCTTGCGAGATGAACTTTTGTTCTGATCTGTTACTTGCATTCTCATTGAATGTGGCAACTTTGAGTATCCTTTATCATGTTTGTGCCTCTTTATTGAGTTTTCTGACGTACACTCTGAACGTATTTTTAATTTCTTAGCTTTAGAAGCACCTTCATGAGTTCTTTTATCAGAAGTTCTTTGATCTGCTGATAACAAATGATCAAACACTTCTTTGCTTTTTGGAGAAGAAGGACTGGGGAACCTGTAGGGGAATAATCATTCACACTATCCATAGAAGATGAATCACCAAGCAAATAAGGTGAGTCAACTTCCATATCAATAACTTCAGTTTTCTCATCAGTAGATGAATGCTTAAATTGTTTGTCTGATTTCTGTGAAGTATTGACAGAGGCTTGACTTTTAGGAAGGTGAGTATTGACCAAATTACCCTGAGTTTTAGAGCTATTATTTGTTTGGTTCTGCATCAAAGTTGTGTAGTTCTGCATTTGTTCCATATATTTTTCAGGAATAACAATTAATTCCCTTTCATTTCCACTTTTATCTATTTTCTTTTTCACCAACAACCCATTTTCTTTTACTTTGAAATCATTTGTCTTGCTGAAATTTTCACTTTTAGCTTTGGTAAGCAATGAGGCTAGATCTTTGTTTTGATGTTGATATTCAATTAATTCCTTAGAATTAATATTAATTATTTTCTAGATTTATTTGTCTTCTTCATCAGCTTGCAGTAAAATATCTTCATCAGTCTCAATAACAGACAGTTCTTGTTTTCCCATTTTGGTGTCTCTACTTCGATCTTCTTCACGAGATCGTTTTACTTGAGATCATATCAAAACCGTATTTATCCTTTCTAAATTTAATGATTGTTTATCTTTGAATAACTGACCAATTTTTCTACCCAGTACATATCTGCCAGGATCACTTGTAACAACAGCTGCCTTTGTCTTTATATGATCAAGTTCACAATTAATATTAATTTCAGCTAACAACAGACACCCTAAATTATCATTTAAAATATATTGTACCCAGACATGTTCTCCAGTCATTTTTGCGTTATCTATGTATTTTCGAGAAATAGCATCTACTGTGGGTCCTCTGTCTCGAAGAATAGGCATTTCATACCCATTAACTAAACCGTTAGTTGTATATGTCTTTAACAAATCATCATTTGAAAATACGCAATTCACGCTTTCATTTGGTTTCATTTGGCATTTGGTTTTCATCTTAAATTCAGGTCTCGCGGTTAAACTTAACTCTTCTGCCAGTACTTTTAAATCCTGTTTTTTACTTCTAGGTAAGAATGACATGTTGAACAAGTTACCTTTGATAGGCTTTCTTTTAAAATTGAATCTAAAAGATCGTACTTGTATTAAAAATGTATAATTTCTGGTGAGACTTAATTTATCAAAATTAACACTAACCAATTGGAGAGAATTAAAATAAAATAACATTAAGCCGAGTTGATGTTTTAACTCACTATTCACAGCCTCGTTACCTATAACTATATAAACACCTTTGACAGACAATACAATGGAATTTTACATATGTCAGTTTGACGATTTTACTATCTATCTCCATGCCTGGTTGGCAGTAACAAAAACAATTTTTGTAATATACAATCTGTAATACGTCGGTATGACGTTACTATCTACCACACGCCTGGATGGTGAGAACTAAGAAAAGACTTTTGCCAATTCTACAGTGTAATCAAATCACACTACGTCAGTTTGACGTTACTACTTATTTTCCATGCGCC